TTCCCTTGAAATGAACGTGTTGCCCTTGGAGCCTACAAGGGCAAACATACATGTTTCTGGTGTTTTTACATTTTCGTAATTTCGTTTGTCTATATTTGTACATTCCTCAGAATGTTAAAAATGGTCCACAAGTGTGCAGAATCGGTACAGCTTGCAAAAAGCCACCCCGCTGCGTAATCCCTGCCTGGATTTCTGCACATCCCGACTTGCCTGAATCCGCTGCAGATTCTCGCTACCCCAGCCCAGAGGGCTGCTCAGGTTTCGGCGACCCAGGCAGTGGCTCTCGGCTAGGCTCCATGGGCGTTCCCAGCTTCGCCTCCGGCCAAGCCTTTCCGTGCGAGAATGACTCTGCCGGAGCCAGAGGCAGAGGAGCCCCAGCAGCACCCCCTGCCCGAAATGCCCCACGCCGGGTGGTGTCCCTGGGGCTCCACTGCTGCGTGGAGCACACAGCTTGGGCCCCGAGTGGCACTGGAACTGGGAAGGCCAAAGGAGACCTTGGCTGGGAGCCAGCCCTGCCTGGCCTACCCCACAGAATCACAGAATGGCAAAAGAGCAGAGCTGGAAGGGGCCAGAAGGCCATCGGGTCCCAGCCCCAGCTGCTGCAGGACACCAGTTTACACCACCCCACTCAGAGGGCTTCCCAGTTTCTTTCTGGATGCCTCCAGTGCTGGAGAGCCCCCCACCTCTCCGGGCAGCTGGTCCCACTGCCCCATTGCTCTGAGAGTGAGGAAGCTCTTCCTGATGTCCAGCCTGAATCTGGGTTGTCGCAGCTTGACTGGATCATTCTGCGTCCTGCGCTCTGGCGTCAGTGAGATCTTGACCTCCCTCTCTGTGACAGCCTTGGAGGTACTTCTAGAGGGATATAGCATCCCCCTTCAGCCTTCTCTTCCCAAGGCTGAACATGCCAGTCCTCTCAGCCTCTCCTCACAGGGCAGTGTCTCCAAACCCTGCATCATTTTTGTCGCCCTCCGCTGGACCCTTTCTAATTTACCTGCATCTTTCTTCAGTCTTGGTGCCCAGAACTGAACACAGGATTCCAGGTAAGGTCTGACTAGTGAGGAGTACAGGGGAACTACTGCTTCTCATGATTTGCAAGTAATGCTTCTGTTAATGCATCCCAAAAGAGCATTCGCCCCTTTGGCAGCCACATCGCATTGTTCGCTCCTATTTAGCCTGTTCTGCACAGTAACCCTGACGTCTTTTTCTTTGTCAGTTCTGTTGAGCTTCGTATTCCCCATCTTGAATCGATGCCTTCAGTTTCTTTTTCCGAGCTGCAGGGCTGGCACTTGTCCTTATTCAGTTTCTTTTTCCTAGGCGGAGGGCTTGGCACTTGTCCTTAATGAATCTCATTGTGTTAATTTCAACCCAGCATTCAAGTTTATCAAGATCACCCTGAATCTTCATTCTTCTGGGGTGTTTGCTATTCCACCCAGTTTTGTATTATCTGCAAATCTGATTATTGTTCTTTGTGCTTCCACACTGAAATCATTCATAAAGATGTCGCCACGCTCCCCAGAATTCACCAGCTGCCCGTGGGTACCAGCAGCAGAGCCGCATCCAGCCCCCCCCCCCCCTCCAAACCCCCCCCCCCGAGAAGCCCCCATGCCGTCTGTGCGAGTCTGGCCACAGCCTGCAGGTGCAAAACGAAGGCAGGCCCTGTGGGTGGGCAGCCACCCTCGGGCCCAGAGGGCAGAAACTCCACTGGCAAAGCCCCTATCCCAGCAACTGCATGCCTGTTGGGAAGAGATGCACCTGATGGATTCCTGGCTGTTGTGTAGCTACCAGAGGCATGCCGGGGGCATCATGAAAAATGGCTGCAGCACCCTGGGGAGGGGGCAGGTGGACCTGTGCAGCCCCCCCAGGGCAGCCCCCCCCAGACCTCCTCTCGAGTTGCAGGATATCATGGGCACCTGGAAGAGCGGGCAGGGGGGGTGGGCAGCTAGGCCCCCCACTCAGGGCTTTGCTTTCCTGGGCCATGTCCCGCCTGCTCCTGGGAGCTGCCCAGGCACCCCGGCTTCCCGCTGATGAAAGCGTGTGACAGGCTGGGAGCCACACCCTGCCCTGCAAATTGGCCTCTGCCCCAGCCCGGAAACTCCCCTCCGCCCACAGCCGGCTTCCCAGAGCCTCCCAGTGCTTTGCCAGTCCAAACCAGCTCGGCTTCTCTGGTCCCTAGTAGGGGCAAGGCGTGGAGGACCGAACGCAGGGTGGGCACCCCGTGAAGGAGGGAGTCTGCAGCCCGCCCTCCTCGCCCGGGCATCCGCTGCCCCTCGACAACGCATGTCCACGTGGGCCCACCTGCATGCTGGCCACCCGCCTCTTCTCCGGGGCGCTGGGGTCAGAGGCGGGGGGGGGGGCAGCCAGGCCGTGGGGGGAGTGCAGCAGAGCTGCCAGCTGGGCAGGGCGCATCCTGTGCCTCTGAACTAGCCTGCTGCCCTCAGTGCAGTGGAGGCGCTTGTCCTGTGCCCAGTATCCCCATGAAGTTCAGCTGCCAGCCGGTGGCACTGAGCCTGGGCAGGGGATATTGCTCTGTGCCTTTTTCCAGGCAGCGAAGAGCGGGCCGGCCAGGGCCGCGGCATCAGTGCCCACGCACGCACGCACGCGCGCGGGCCAGTCGCACTTGGTTCCGCAGCTGAACGGCACTGGCGAGGGTGGCCAAGCCCTCCAGCAGCTCTTACTGCCACCCAGCAGCTCCAGCCCCTCCGGGAGCCCAAGTGGGGAGGGCGAGCTGAACCGTCCTGCAAGGGAAAGAACAGCCGCTACTGGAGAGGCTTTCTGGGCGAGCTCCCCCCCCCCCCCCGCGAGCAAGCAGCCCAACCCCCACGAGGAGGAAGAGGGGGACGGGGCAACATTCAGGGCCTCCTCCATGGGGCTCCCTTTGACGCTTGGGAGGGAGCGCTAGGTGGCCACTGCCACGCCCACCGCACCACTCGTCAGGGCCACCAGACCCCGGCTTCGTTCTCCCTCCTCCTCTTGGCTAAAGAGACGCAACCGAAGAGAGGGAGGCCGTGCAGCTGAAGGACGAAGCTGGGCGGAAGAGCAAACACCCCAGAAGACAGAATGGTGATCCAGGGCAATCCCGATAAACTGGAACACTGAGCTAAAAGCAACAGAATGAGATTCAGTGAGGACAAGTGCCAAGTCCTCCACCTGGGAACGAGAAGCCAAAGATGGGGAACACGTGCCTCGGCAAGGATGGAAACAGATCTCCGGGTTGCTGTGGACAACAGGCTAAATAGGAGCCAACAATGCGATGCAGCTGCCAAAAGGCCGTTTTGGGGTGCATTAACAGAAGTATTACTTCCAAATCACAAGAAGTAATAGTTCCTCTCTATTTCTCACTAGTCAGACCTGGAATACTGTGTCCAGTTCTGGGCACCAAGATTCAAGAAGGATGCAAGAAAATTAGAAATGGTTCAGATGAGGGCAAGAAAAAGGATCCAGGGTTTGGAGACACTGCCCAAGAGGAGAGGCTGAGAGGACTGGCATGTTCAGCCTTGGGAAGAGAAGGCTGAAGGGGGATGCTATATCCCTCTAGAAGTACCTCCAAGGCTGTCACAGAGAGGGAGGTCAAGATCTCACTGACGCCAGAGCGCAGGACGCAGAATGATTTAGTCAAGCTGCGACAACCCAGATTCAGGCTGGACATCAGGAAGAGCTTCCTCACTCTCAGAGCAATGGGGCAGTGGGACCAGCTGCCCGGAGAGGTGGGGGACTCTCCAGCACTGGAGGCATCCAGAAAGAAACTGGGAAGACCTCTGAGTGGGGTGGTGTAAACTGGTGTCCTGCAGCAGCTGGGGCTGGGACCCGATGGCCTTCTGGCCCCTTCCAGCTCTGCTCTTTTGCCATTCTGTGATTCTGTGGGGTAGGCCAGGCAGGGCTGGCTCCCACCCAAGGTCTCGCTGCTACAGGAAGTGGTGCTGGCCATCAGCTGGGGGGCTTTAAAGGGGATCGGACCGTGGCTGCTGGCCTTGTTGGCTGTGTGCTGCCTCCGTCCCCAGCGGCGGCGTGCCCGCATGCTCCAGGTGCCGAGGAGGCTGGCACCCCTCCCGCCTGAGGGATCCTGCGGGCAGCCAGCTCGCCACTCGTGAATGGCGTGGGACAGGATGGGCCACGGATCTGGTGCAGCAGGACTGTTCTCATCAGCCATCCTGTTCCAAGGTAGGGGGGTGTGTGTGTGTGTGTGTGTGTGTATCAGGGTGGGTGGGGCTGTTTTGTCTTGCTTCATTTGTAAAACGCATTGCTAAAGAATACATTTGCGTACATGATTTAGAGCACTGCAAACCGGGGAGCCCTGGGTGAGTCAGCACGGCTGCGCTCTCCTCCTCCACCTCCCGGGCTGCTTGTTCACCAGAGTGCTCAGCCAGAATAACCACAGCCAGAGCAACCTCCTTCCCATCAGCTCCTGCTTGGAGCAAGACGGGCCCAGGACCTGTGCAGGGGTCTGGGAGACCTCTGAACCTGTCCCTGGGCTGCTCTCCAGGTGCCCCGCAGGTGAAAGGACTGCTGTACATTGCATGATGGGGTACAGGCTAACTGAGCGCAACCTTCTGGCGAGGTAGCACGAGGCCCACACGCCGCATTCTGCACCCCCTCCCGCCCCGCTCCTCCTGCACTCCAGGTTCAACAGAAGCTGCTGGTTCAGGGAGCCCATTGCCAAGGGGAATGCTTCTCCAAAAGGCCGGTTTGTCCCCAGCGTGCCCCACAGCGTGCCTGGCTGCCAGGGAGCGATGTGCAAGGGGGCAGCTCACGTAGTTCCAGCAGCACCCGTCTTACCCCACAGCCTCCTCGCAACGGGACGTGTCCACCCTGTGCCTGGGAAACAGAAGCGGGCCTGTGCTCTGGCATGCGTGGGTGAAGCCCAAGGTGGCTGTCCTGCGAGGGCACCAGAAACTGACCCTCTTTCCTTGCTGTCTTTGCAGGAACCCACCTGCCACCCTTGAAAGGACTGGAAGATCCTGCTGCCTCTGCTGAGAGAGAGCAGAATGGAGGCAAGGGAGCAAATGGCCCGGGGGCAAGCAGCAGGCTGCCCATCCCTTGGCGGCAGCAGCTCAGCCGCTAAGGCAGGAAAAGGCCCCGGGAGCATCGCAGGGGTCCACGCGGAGGCCTCCGGCAAGGCCATGAGCTTCTCAGAGGCAGTGCGGGAGCACTTGCTGCAGCCTGAACTTGCACTGGCCCTGCTGGAGGCCCAGGCAGCCACGGGAGGCATTGCTGACCTGCGGGAAAGGCGGCGCGTCCCTGTGGCCGAGGCGGTAGCACTGGGACTGGTGGGGCTGGAAATGAAGGAGACCTTGCTGAGTGCGGAGCGAGCGGCGACAGGCTTCCTGGATCCCTATCTGGAGAAGAAGATCCCACTCTGCCAAGCCATCCAGAAGGAGCTGATTGGCAGGGAGAAGGGCCTGCGTCTCCTGGAAGCCCAGGCGGCCACCGGAGGCCTCGTAGACCCCAGCACTGGCTGCCGCGTCCCTCTGCAAGAGGCCTACGCAAGAGGCTTCCTTGATGAAGAGATGGACTGCCTCCTGTCTGATCCCGAGAGTGAGGAGGCCAGAGGCTTCCTGGACCCCAGCAGCGGCCAGAAGGTCACCTACGCGGAGCTGATGCGCAGATGCGTCACAGACCCGTCCTCAGGGCTGCTGCTGCTGCCCCTGAAGATCACCTTCCCTGGCCTGAGAGGGGCCGTGAGCAGCCAGCAGCTGCTGGACACCGGAATCATCGACGCCACCACGTTCAAGGCCCTCCACGATGGGGAGGTCACGGCGCAGGAAGTGGCGGAGATGGAGTCAGTCCAGCAGTACCTCTCCGGAGCAGCCGGCATCGCTGGCGTGGCCATGCTGGAAAGCAACGTGTGCTGCAGCCTTTACCAGGCCTTGACAGACCACCTCCTGATGCCCGGCACTGCTGTGATGCTGCTGCAAGCCCAAGCGGCGATGGGATGTTTGGTAGACCCCGCGGAGAACAAGAGGTTCACCGTTGAGGAGGCCACCCGGGCAGGAGTGGTCGGGCCAGAGCTCTACGAGAAACTGTTTGTAGCAGAGAGAGCGGTCATGGGGTACAAAGACCCCTGCTCTGGGGAGACGCTCTCCCTGTTCCAGGCCATGAAGAGGGGCCTCGTGCCCAGAGACCCCGGCATCTTCCTGCTGGATGCTCAGCTTGCCACTGGTGGCGTCATTGACCCGCACGCTCATCACCGTCTCCCCGTGGAGGTGGCCTGTCGGCGGGGCCATTTGGACAGAGACACGTACCACCTCCTCTGCAGCCCCACCGAGGAGGTCCGGGGCTTCTTCGACCCCAACACCAAGGAGAATTTGTCGTACGCAGAGCTGCTGCAGAGGTGCGTCACTGACCCAGGCACGGGGCTCTGCCTGCTGCCGCTCTCTGGGGAGCGTGGCGGGGAACACGCCTTCCTTGACCATGGCACACAGGCTGCCCTGAGGAACACGGTGGTGTCTGTGGCCGGCGGCAAATTCAAGGGGAAGCCCACCTCACTCTGGAAGCTGCTCTTCTCGGACTGCATCACGAGAGAGCAGAGGAGGGCCCTCACCCAGCAGTTCCGCTCCGGGGCCCTGTCCACCCAGGAGCTGGTCGATGAGGTCTGTCACGCCATCCAGCGAGCCACGGAGAGCTGCAGCGTCACCTTTGAAGGCCTGAGGGACAAGGTGACCCCTGCCCAGCTGCTGAGTTCTGAGATAATCAACAAAGATCTGTTTGAGAGGCTAACACAAGGGGGCACCTTGCCCAAAGAGACTCTCAACTTGGGAAAGGTGAAGAAGTACTTGGAAGGAACTGGCAGCATCGGCGGGTTGGTCCTGCCGGACTCCCAGGAGAAAATGAGCATCTACGAAGCAAAACGGAAGGGCTTTCTCCGCCCCGGAACGTCCCTCATTCTCCTGGAGGCTCAGGCTGCCACAGGCCATGTCATTGATCCCGTTGCCAACAAGAAATACTCGGTGGACGAGGCCCTGCGCGCCGGCATAATTGGCCCGGATGTGTATGACAAGCTTGTGGCTGCCGAGAAAGCCGTCACAGGCTACCGGGACCCCTACACAGGGGACAAGATCTCCCTCTTCCAGGCCATGATGAAGGACCTCATTGTCAAGGACCACGGCATCCGGCTTCTGGAGGCCCAGATCGCCACGGGGGGCATCATCGACCCCGTCAACAGCCACCGCCTGCCTGTGGAAACAGCCTACAAGCGGGGCTACTTCGACAAGAAGATGAATCTGATTCTCTCGGACCCCAGCGATGACACCAAGGGCTTCTTCGACCCGAACACCCATGAAAATCTGACCTACTTGCAGCTGAAGGAGAAGTGCATCACGGAGCCCTCCACAGGCCTCTGCCTCCTGCCCCTGAACAGCAGGAAGCGCCAGTTCATTGACGACGCCACCAAGCAAGTCCTCCGGAGCTCCTGGCTCTCTGTAAAATACGGGCGCTTCCAAGGACAGAGGGTCTCCCTGTGGGATCTGCTGAACTCAGAGTACTTCAGCGAGGGTAAAAGGAGAGAAATACTCAACCACTACTGCCTTCGGAAGCTCACCCTGGAAGAAATCCGCCTCATGCTAGAAGAGGAGTCGAAGAAATGGGCCCGCATCACGTTCCCAGTCGTCCGGGGCAAGGTCACCGCCTACCACCTGGTGGAAAGCGGCATCATTGAGAAGGGCCTTTTCGAGAGCCTCCTGGAGGGAGCCGTGAGCCCCGAGGAGGTGCTGCGCATGGAGTCTGTCCGAAAATACCTGTACGGCACCGGCAGCATTGGGGGGATCCTGCTGCAGCCCTCCAATGAAAGAGTGAGCCTCTATGAGGCCATGAGGAGGCACCTCGTGCTGCCCGCAGTGCTGCTGCCGTTGCTCGAGGCGCAGGCCGCCACCGGCTTCATCGTGGACCCTGTCCACAACCAGAGGCTCTGCCTCGACGACGCAGTGAGGGAAGGCCTGGTCGGGCCCGAGCTCTACGAGAAGCTGCAGCGCGCAGAAGAGGCCGTCACTGGGTACAGGGACCCCTTCACAGGAAAGAAGGTCTCGCTCTTCCAGGCCATGAAGAAAGGCCTAGTGGCTGACAGGCAGGCCCGGCGGCTGATGGAAGCCCAGCTGGCTGTGGGGGGAGTCATGGACCCCCACAGTGGCCACTATGTCCCGGTAGAATTCGCCCAGCAAAAGGGCTACTTGGATGAGCCATTCCACGAGATGCTTTCCGAGCCGAGCGGGGACAGCAAGGTGTTCGACACACTGGACAGCAAGCAGAAGGTGACGTATGGCCAGCTGATGGATCAGTGTCAGACGGATGATGCATCGGGCATCCACCTGCTGCCCCTGCCACAGGCGGCTTCCCTGGGCTGCACCGATGAGCAGATCAAACAGCTCTTCAGTGAGACCTTCGCAGAAGGCGGGGGGGCCTCCCTCTGGCAGCTCCTCAACTCTGGCTACTTCACCGAGGAGCAAAGGCGGGACTTCCTCCAGCAGTACAGCTCTGGGGCAGCCTCTCCCCACCAGCTACTCGCCCTGGTCCAGGGACTCATTAGGGAAGTCGAAATGAAGGCGCAAACGCAGGTCACTTTCCAAGGCCTGAGGGGGGCTGTGCCTGCGGTCTGGCTTCTCGACAACGGCATCCTTTCAGAAAGCACCTTCTCAGAGCTGGCGCAGGGCAGGAGGACTGCCAGGGAAGTGGCTGAGATGGAGCAGGTGAAGAAATACTTGCAGGGCACTGGAGGCGTGGCCGGTGTGTTCATTCAGGCCTCCAAGGAGAAAATGGGCATTTATCAGGCAGTGCAGAGAGGCCTGCTTCTGCCAGGCACTGGGGCAAGGCTCCTGGAAGCTCAGGCAGCCACGGGGTCCATCACAGACCCTGTGACGAGCCAAAGGCTTGGCGTGGAGGCGGCCATGAAAGCCGGCCTTGTGGGCAAAGAACTGGCCGAGCAGCTGCTGCAGGCTGAGAGAGCGCTGACTGGCTATGCCGATCCTTGCTCAGGAAAACCGATCTCCGTGTGCCAGGCCATCAGAAGGGAGCTGATCTCTGCCAGCGCTGGCATCCCCTTGCTTGAGGCTCAGCTGGCCATGGGAGGGGTCATCGATCCTGTCCACCACCTCCATCTTCCTCTCCAGGCTGCCTACAGGCACGGCTTCTATGACGAGGAAATGTGCAAGATCCTCTCCCAGCACAACGACGACACCTGTGTCTTCTTTGACCCAAACGCACAAGAAAGTGTGACCTATCAGCAGCTGAAGGACCGGTGCATCCGGGATGCCGAGACCAGCCTCCTCCTGCTCCCTCTCTCAGAAGACGCAGTTCTTTATGGGGACTGGCAGACCATTGAGCTGCTGAAATCGGTGACCATCCGAATGGACATCGGGCGCTACAAGGGTTACGAAGCTTCTCTCTGGGACCTGCTGAATTCGGAGTACGTCAGCAACCGCAAGCGCAGAGAGCTGCTAACGCTGTACAAAGAGAAGAACGCCGAGCTACTCCAAGAGATGATAGCAACCGTCACCGCGATCATCGAAGAGACGGAGCAACAGGGCAAGAGGTTCACCTTTAAGGGCCTGCGCAAGCAGGTCTCGGCCAGCGACCTCTTCCAGTCCCGGCTCATAGACAAAGAGACTCTGGACGGACTGGCAGAGGGGAGGAAGACGGTCCAGGAAGTCACCAAGATGGATTCTGTGAGGCACTTCCTTGAGGGCTGCAACTTCATTGCTGGCGTCCTTGTGCAGCCGAGCCAGGAGAAAATGAGCATCTACCAGGCATGGAGGCAGGGCCTCCTCAGGCCAGGGGCTGCACTGGTGCTGCTGGAAGCCCAGGCCGCCACCGGGTTCCTCATTGACCCTGTGGAAAACAAGAAGCTGTCTGTGGAGGAGGCACTGGCAGCGGGGCTGATTGGCAGAGAGATATACAAGAAGCTGCTGAGCGCGGAAAAGGCAGTGACTGGATACACACACCCCTACACCAAGCAGCAGATCTCCCTCTTTGAGGCCATGAGCCAGGAGCTCATTGTGCGAAGCCATGGCATCCGCCTGCTGGAGGCCCAGATCGCCACGGGGGGCATCATTGACCCTGTGGGCAGCCACCGCATCCCTGTCGAGGTGGCTTACAAGCGGGGCTACTTCGACGAGAAAATGAACCAGATCCTCTCGGACCCCTCAGACGACACCAAAGGCTTTTTTGACCCCAACACACACGAGAACCTCACCTATCTGCAGCTGCTGGAACGATGCATCCAAGATCCAGGGACTGGCCTGTACATGCTGCAAATAGTCAGACGGGGCGAGAGGTACCACTACATTGATGAGGCCACAAAGCAGTTCCTGAAAGCACAGCCTGTGCGGCTGCATGTGGGCAGGTACAAAGGCCAGGCAGTCTCCATGTGGGATCTCCTCTGCTCCCCCTACATCCCCCAGCACAGAAGGAAAGACCTCGTGAGCCGGTACAAGCATGAGGGGCTGACCTTGGAACAGCTCCAGGAAGCCATCACCACCGCCATCGAAGAAACGGAGCAGAGTGCCCGGAAGTTCACACTGAAGGGGCCGAGGGGGAACCTGCCAGCTGCCGAGCTGTTTAACGCAGAGATCATCGACAAGGAAACCCTGGACAAGCTGCAGACAGGGGCTGGGGCGATCCAGCAGCTTGCCCAGAAGGACTCTGTGAAACAGGCTCTGGAGGGAACAGGCGGCATTGCAGGCATCTTAGCTGGACGTGAAGGGCAGAAGATGACCATCTGTGAGGCAATGAGGAGAGGCCTCCTCCCGCCAGAAGATGCTCTGGTGCTGCTGGAAGCGCTGGCTGCCACCGGAGGCATCCCTGACCCCATGCAGAAGCAAACGCTCCCTGTTGACGCTGTGGCCTCTAAGGGGCTCCTAGGGAAGGAGGCCCATGAAAAGCTTCTCTTCGCAGAGAAAGCGGCAACTGGATACACCGACCCATCCACAGGAAACAGAATCTCCCTTTTCCAAGCCATGAAGAAAAATTTAGTAGAGAAAGAATTTGCTCTCAGGTTGCTGGAGGCCCAGATAGCCACTGGTGGCATCATAGACCCTGAATATGGCTACCGCATCCCTGTGGAGGTGGCTTACAGAAGGGGCTATATGGATAATGATACTTTTATCCTGCTTTCTGATGCAGAATATACTACCAAAAGATTTGTGGATCCCAACACACAGGAAAGGATCACATATGCACAACTCTTACAAAGATGCACCAAAGACACAGACACAGGGATGTATTTCTTACCATTGCTAGAAAAGAGGGGATGTTTCTACAAAGATGAGATGACAAAGAACATTCTCTCTTCCACAAAAGTGAAGGTAACGCTGGGGAAATACAGAGGACAGACAGTCTCTCTGTGGGAGCTTCTCTCTTCAGACTACCTTAATGAGGAAAGGAAGAAAGAGCTGATCAAAAATTACAAGCAGAAATCCTCCGCTGTCCTGCAGCGCATCATGAGTGAAATCTTAAACATAATACAAGAAAAAGAAAAAAACAGAAAAGATATATGGTTCCAGGGACTACGGAAACAAGTCACAGCTTCAGAACTACTAAAAGCAGGCATAATTGGAAAAGACACAATGAAAAACTTGGAGGAAGGAAAACAGACAGCAGAGGATGTAGCAAAGGTGGATTCGGTAAGGAGGTACCTGCAAGGCACCGGCTGCATTGCCGGGGTGCTGGCGCCCTCCAAGGCGGACCCTCTGAAGACGGAGAAGCTGACCATCTACCAGGCCATGCAGAAGGGCATTCTGAGGCCAGGCACAGCCCTGGAGCTGCTGGAAGCACAGGCCGCCACTGGCTTCATCGCTGACCCGCTGAAGAACGAGAAGCTCTCCGTCGATGAAGCTGTCTCTGCCAGGCTGGTGGGTGGAGAACTTCATAAGAAGCTTCTTTTTGCAGAGAAAGCTGTCACTGGGTACACTGATCCAAATACAGGGAAAAAGGTATCTCTTTTTCAGGCAATGAAAAAAGAACTGATCAACAAAGATTACAGTGGACGCTTGCTGGAAGCTCAGATTGCTACGGGAGGCATCATTGATCCGAACAACAGTCACCGTCTTCCATTAGAGGTAGCCTACCAACGGGGATTCTTTGATGAGGAAATGAGCCAGAAGCTCTCAGACCAGACAGAGAGCACAAAGGGCTTCTTTGATCCAAACACAAAGGAGAACCTTACATACATGCAGCTCCTTAAGAGGTGCATTCGTGACCAAGACACTGGATTCCTCCTGCTCCAAATACAGGATCGGGGCATCAGGGCCCACCATTTGGATGAAACGATCAAGAAGGCTTTGCGGACTACAAGAGTGTGCACCGGAAAATCTCAGGGAGAGGCAGTGCCTCTCTGGGACCTCCTTCTCTGCAGTAACATGCAGGAAAAGAAGACACAGAAGATACTGGAAGAGTATACAGCTGGAAAACGAAAAATTCCAGAAGTGATAGAAGTCCTAACAGCCATTGCGGAAGAAAAAGAAAAGGAGAGAAGCACAGAAGTAACAGAGAAACGGGATCCAATTACACAAAGAAAACATATACTAGAAAAAAAAGATAACACTGAAGTGACAGAGAAGAACACGGAATATGGATTAAAAGAAGCAAAAATAGAGAAGGCAACCAGTGGGGAAACGGCTGCAGTCGCCTCCCCAGGTTTCCGGGACTGGAAAAGAGCCTCGCAGTCTCAGCCCAGGAAAGAGGGACGCCCTGGCAAAGGAACGGATGGTGCCGGCAGTACGGCCAGGGAGGGGGCTCCGGCCCAGACAGACGGAGCTGCCCCTTCCCCACGGGACGGAGAACTGGAAAGCGCCCTGCGGGCGGTGACGGTCGACGTGCCCGTGGGCGACTTCCAAGGCTCCCGGTGCTCGGTGTGGGAACTCCTCTTCTCGAGATACGTGACCGCAGACCAGCGGCACGAGCTCCTGGAGAGCTTCCGAGCCGGATCCCTGACGCCCGAGGACCTCGTCCAGAGGATCACCACCCTCATCCGGGAGATGGAGGAGAAGAGCAAGCAGCTGAAATTCGCTGGCCTCAGGAGGCAGGTGACGGCCTCGGAGCTCTTCGGCTCCCGCATCATTGACCGGGACACGCTCTCCGAGCTGACGCACGGCACCAAGACGGTGGGGGAGGTCACGGAAATGGAGTCGGTGAAGCGATACCTGGAAGGCACCGGCTGCATTGCCGGGGTGCTGGCGCCCTCCAAGGCGGACCCTCTGAAGACGGAGAAGCTGACCATCTACCAGGCCATGCTGAAGGGCATTCTGAGGCCGGGCACGGCCCTGGTGCTGCTGGAGGCACAGGCCGCCACTGGCTTCATCGCTGACCCGCTGAAGAACGAGAAGCTCTCCGTCGACGCGGCCGTCTCTGCCGGGCTGGTGGGCGCCGAGCTGCAGGAGAAGCTCCTCTCCGCCGAGAGAGCCGTGACCGGCTACAACGACCCCTACACGGGCGACAGGATCTCCCTTTTCCAGGCCATGAAGAAAGGCCTCATCGTCAAAGACCACGGCATCCGCCTGCTGGAGGCCCAGATCGCCACCGGGGGCATCATCGACCCGGTGCACAGCCACCGCCTCCCCGTGGAAGTGGCGTACCAGCGGGGCTACTTTGACGAGGAAATGAACCAGATCCTCTCGGACCCCACCGACGACACCAAGGGCTTCTTCGACCCCAACACGCACGAGAACCTCACGTACATGCAGCTTCGGCACAGGTGCCTCCCCGACCCGGACAGCGGCCTCCTGATGCTTCACCTGATGGACAGGGGCTGCCTTTCCTCCCAGCTGAACGAGAACGCGAGGAAGTCCTTGCAGTCCGCCCGGACCAGGGTGGGCGTGGGGATCTTCCAGGGACAGGAAGTCTCCCTGTGGGACCTCCTCTTCTCCAGGTACGTCCCTCCGCACAAGAGGCAGGAGCTCCTGAGGCAGTACAAGGCTGGCACCGTCACGCGAGAGGACATCACCCACATCCTCATCACCATCGTCACCGAGGCGGAGGAGAGCAGCGGCGCGCGAAGCGGGCACAGCACAGCTCCCGGCTCCCCCGCAGCCCCGTCGCCGGGAGATGGGGCCGCGCCCGACGAGAGCTGGCAGGAGCCCTTGAAGGCCACCACCGTCGACGTGCCTGCCGGGCAGCTCCACGGCCAGACGATGGCCGTGTGGGACCTGCTCTTCTCCGACTACATCTCCGAGGAGAAGAGGACGGAGTTCCTGGCCTTGTACAGAGGGGGGCTGCTGTCAATGGAGCGGCTGATCAGCCTCCTCCTCGCCCTCGTCACGAAAAAGGAAGCCACGGGCAGGAAACTGGACGTTAAAGTGAGGAGCCCCGACCGAGGGGGGGCGAGCGGTGGGGAAGCCCCTGCGGCCTCCTCCCCGGGCTGGGAAAGCGCCTTGCGGTCTCAGCCCATGCAGGTAGCTCTGCCGGAGTTTCGCGATCAGCAGCCCTCCGCCTGGGACCTCCTCTTCTCCCAGTACGTCTCCGAGGGCCAGCGCGAAGAGCTCCTCGGCAAACTCAGAAACGGCAGGCTGACCCTCGCGGAGCTCACACAGGTCCTCGCCACCCTCCTCGCGGAGGCTGCGGCCAGGGAGGGGAGACACCCCGCCGCCCCCGACAGGCCCCGCCCTCCCGGCGATGACGCCCCCGAGGAGGAGGAGGAGGAGGAGGAGGAGGAGGACGCCGACGCTCTGCGGCTGGGCGAAAAGGAGCAGGCCCTGAGGTCCCGCATGGTTACGGTGGCCGCCGGCGAGTTCCACGGACGCAAGGTCTCCGTGTGGGAAGTGCTCCACTCCAAGTACATCCCCGAGGAGAAGAGGAAGGAGCTCTTGCGACTCTACAGAGCTGGCATCCTCACGGTCGACCAGATAGAGACGGTGGTCACCACCATCGTCAACAAGACCGAGGAGGAGAAGAGGGAGGGGGCCTCCCACGGACACGCACACACGGGCCACTGGGAAGACGCCCTGAGGAATCACACCGTCGTCCTGCACATCGGCGAGTTCCGCGGCCAGGAAGTCTCCCTCTGGGATCTCCTCCTCTCTCGTTACATCTCCGATACTAAAAGGGAAGAACTTCTGTGTATCTTCAGAGACTGCCAGCTGACTCCAGAGGAACTGGCAGCTATTGTTTCCACTTTGATTCGTGAATTTACAGACAGCCGTGAAGAATGCTCACCACTGGATGGAAAGCACTCTGAGGAGGCATCTGCTGAAAGAGAAGAGGCTGCTTCCTCTCCAGAGGGGCCATCAAGGGAGATGGAACTCAAGTCCAAGTTGGCCATGGTAAGTATGGGCAATTTCCATGGCCAGCAGCTTTCTCTCTGGGACCTGCTCCATTCCCCGTACATCTCTGAAGAGAAAGGCAGGAAGCTTTTGCAAGCGTACGAAGCTGGCCAGCTCAGCATCGCCCAAATGAAGGCTGTGGTCCCTCTGAGTGCCATGAAATCGGCAGGACAGGAGGGGAGCCCTTCCCCAGCCGGCCACAGCCCAGCAGTGGCAGAGGGCCCAGAAGCTGCACCGTCGCCCCACTACAACCTTCTGCAGTATACCTTGCAGCGAAGGGATGCTGAGGCTGTCATCCAAGACTTCCGTAGCCAGAAAGCTTCAGTCTGGGATCCTTTCTTTTCTAGGTGTGTCTCCAACATCAGGAAACAGGAGAGTCTCCATGAACATGGGGCTCCAGCAGTCAGTGTGAAGGAAAGCGGCAGCAGCTTTGCTCCTTGGGGTGCAGAAAGTGGCAGCCCATGTGACACCTCTCTCCAAACTGGGGAAATTTCCACGGAAAACCTCTCCTCTCCGGAACCACTCAGGGCCTTTCAAACAGGATGCCCAGTTGAAACACAGAATGCTCTGAAAGCAGAACGGCCCGACCAGACGTTGCCCAGCAGGCCAGAGGGAGGCCATGGTGCGGCCGAGGGCCCGGAGGAGGAATGTAAAGGCCTGCTGGCACGGCAGCTGCAGCTGAAGCGATCTCTGTGCACGACGCTGGTCCCCGTAGCCGTGGGCGAGTACAAGGGGCAGCAGGTGTGTGTGCTGGACCTTCTGTTCTCCAAATACGTTCCCCAGGATAAGAGGCAGGAGCTCCTGGAACTGTATCGCGCGGGGAGCTTATCCATACAAGAAATGATCACGGTGATCACCGGCATGGTGGAAGAGTTCGAGAGCCAATGTGGGGGGTCCCACGCAAAGAAACGGACGCCCTGCAAGAAAGTCTGCTGGAAGGACTGAGGGGCCCCCGCAGCCAGCAAGGCCCGGCACCTGGGGCTCCTTCACACTGCACAGATGGCCTCCCGCTGCCGCCGCCTCTGGCATCCGTCACTGCCCCCGGACCTCTGGGAACATACAGCAAGAACACCCCTTGAGCTGGGTCGCTTTCCATGGAAGCTGTCCCCTTCTGAGAGACTTTCCAAAGGGGAGTTCTGACTCCCTCTCCATCTGCGGACGCCATCGAGCATCAGAGTTTCCCCCCTGCATTGCCAGTCACAACTTCCTTGACGAAGGTCTCAAAGATGCCCTCCTCCAACCCCACCCTCCCAAATCTGTGACCTGCTTCATGATGCCATTCTGTACTCCACTTTGGGAACACTCGCGTGTGCTGGAGAGCAAAGAGAAAGACATTTCTGCCAATTTTCAAGCATTTTATAATGCAGAGGGGCTCCCCCTCCCTCCCAGATGCAGTACCCAGATGCAAGATGGCATGAAGTGCATTGTGCCAAGGACCAGAGGTGATTCTGACCCTCTTCGTCAGGAGGAGCTAATCCTGTCTCAAGAGCTTTTCCCAGGAAAGCAACCTCAGCCAGGAAGACTTGCTACCTGTTTCCACCTCCACCTATCTTTTGGCAAGTGGCTCTCCTTCCTTAGCAGCTGCCCTTGGACTATCGCTTGGGGGACACTATGCCCTCCCTGGGGAAAGAGGAAAACTCTCTTCTAAGCACTGCTGATTCTAAACTAGGGATTGAAAGACACACCTGGACAGGCAGGAGATGGGCTGATGCGCACCTTCGCCTCCTAAAACCTGCTCCTTAGAATGGGCCTTTTATTCTGTGATGGAGCATTTAGCCCCTACACCTGCCTGAACCTGCTGGATGACCGTCGTGGAAGAAGGTGCCTCATCGGAAAGCAACTCAGCGTGGCTGTTCCTGCCGAGAATACAGAAGAGACTTGGAACCACAGTGAGATGCTTTTGCCGCCCGAAATTTGGCCTGGATCAATTTGCCAGGTCCACACCAACTGAGAAACCGTCTAAGGAACTGCATGACTGATTTACATAATTGTAGCACTTGTACATTGCCCTCCAGGAATAAAGGAATACCACAGAAACCAGTTAAAATACAAATTACATCTTAATATATGCAGAGAAACATTCCAGTTAAAAACAAGATGCATCCAGAATTAAAACACTGTATCGCACCATTCGCACCATGTGTAACCATAAGCGGAAGAAATAAAAAAGATGGTAAGGTCTATTTTTCATGCAAAGGGAACTTACATGAAGCACTTGGGAGTGAGTTCCATGGGCATGGGGCCACTCTGAAAAGGCCCTGCCCCTTGTGCTCACCAATGTTGGCGGCAGGTCTGCAAGCGGGGTGCTGAGGCCAATATTTATGCCTCAGTAGGTTTCTGTGAGAAAAGCCAGTCCTTCATCTGGCTCCCTCACATTTTAAAAGCCACCTCCAGTAATTTAAACAAGACCTGAAATCAAATCTAGGGGATGTCCATTCTCCGCTTTGGACAGATCCCTTTGGAGTTCCTGCCAATTCCTTTCAGTTTTAACCACCTGAGGTAGTCTGATGTCATCAGCAAATCCGGCAATTCACTGCTTACTCCTAATTCCAGATCACTGATCACAGTATCATAGAATGGCAGAGTTGGAAGGGGCCGGAAGGCCATCGGTACCCCCCCCCCCGCCGTTGCTGGACACTAAGTTACACCACCCCATTCAGGTGACTGTCCAGGTGCTTTCTGAATGCCTCCAGCAAAGGAGAGCCCACGACTTCCCCAGGTAAAGGTTCCATGGCCGTACTGTTCTGGCAGTGAGGAAATTCTTCCTGGTGCCCCATCTAAATCTGAATAAAGTCCTTTATTCCATGTCCTGCACCCTGGAATGAACGAGAAGAGATCATGTCCTCCCTCTTTGTGACAGCCTTTCAGGTACTTGAGGGCTTTCCTGTCCCCCCTCAGGGTTTTCTCCTGGAGGCTGAACATGCCCAGTTTTCTCAGTCTTTCCTCGGATGGCTTTGCCTCCACTCCCTGAATCATGGCTTGTCTGCGTCCTTTTTAAACATAGGTACCCAGAACTAGACATAGTCCTTCAGGTGAGGTCTGACGAGTGCTGAGGTGGTGGAACTGTATTTCGGAAGTGACGCTTCTGTTAATGCCGCCCAAAATAGCGCTCGTCCCTTCTGCGGTTGCATCCCATGGTTGGCTCATAGTTAGCTTGTGATCGGCAAGAACCCCAAGATCCTTCTCGTTTGCAGGCTTGTCGAGCCAAGCGTTCCCCTTCTTGTAGCGGCGCGTTTGGCTTCGCGTCCCTAAGTGGAGAACTTGAAATCCTCCCCGAATTTCAAACCACCCTGGAACTTCTCTCTCTTCCAGGAGTTTGCCCTTCCGCCCAGCTTTGTGTCCTCTGCAGATGTAATTCTCTCTCCTTGCACTTGCTCCTCTAAATCATGAACGAAAATGTTGGAGAGTGCTGGTCCCGGGACGCTTCCCTGCGGCTCCCCGCTTGGCTCCCCTGCCCAGCCGGAGAAGGGGCCGCCGAGGAGCGCTCCCGGAGTCCGATTCTGCAGCCAGCTGTGGCTCCGGCTACTGCTGGCACGACCTCGCCCGCTTTCTGCTAGTCTGGCCATCAGGCTGTCGTGGGGCCTTGCCAAAGGCTTTGCTGTAGTCCAGATGGGTTATGGCCACTGTGTTGCCACACTCCGTTTTGGAGGCTACCCAGTCAGACATGAAGTTGCATTCATCTGGCAGGATTTCTTCTTGAGAAATCCACGTTGGCTTCTAGTAATTCCTGCATTGCCTTCCATGAGCTCGCAGACTGCTTGTTTTATAATTAGTTCTAGAATTTTTCCCAGGATTGATGTCAGGCCAACTGGTCTACAGTTAGTTAATTCTCAAAGGCGATAGCCAGTGGTGCTGAGAGTTCTTCCACTGGCTCTTTGGACTGAAGGTCCTCAGGCCCTGGAGACTGGAACTCAGGCAGCCCAATTTGAGGCCCTTGACCATTTGCCTGCCCATCCTGGGCTGCCTCCCTGCCCCTGCAGCTTGTACCACACCTTCATAAGGAGGGCGCGCGGTCGAAGCCGCAGCCGAGTGCTTCTGCCTTTTCTCTGCCATCTGCTGCCATTGTTCCATCCGTGGTGAGTAGCTGAACTTCTCCCGTTTTCCGTCCACAGTGAGCAGTTGAATCCCCTTCTCTTTTGTCTGTCTCTTGCTCTGGATACATTTGAAGAAGACTGTTTTGTTGTTTCCAGGGCCCCTCACTAGCCTCAGTCCGTCCATTGCTCTGACCTTCCTGACGTCATCTTTGTGGTTCCTTGCTACTTGCTCATATTCTTCCCTTGCAGCCCGCCTGGTCTCCCTCCCACCTCTTCCACGGGTCCTTTTTCGTTTTCAGAGTATCTCTTGGCTTTCCGTGAAGCCCCATGGGCTGCTGCTTTTGCCTGCCACTCTTTTTCCTTCTTGGAAATGTTTATAGTTGTGCTTTAAGCATTCCTTCTTTAAAGGTAGGCCACCCTTCCTGGGCTCCTTTCCCCTTTAGAGTGGCTTGCCATGGGTCTTTGCTTATCATTACCCTGAAATGGTTAAATTTGGCTTTTTTGAAATCCAAGGTACATGTTTGGCTATATTTAGTTTTAGTTTCCTTTATTATTGAGAATTTTGGTAAGGCACGGTCTGTTTCCCCCAGATTTCTTGCAGCTGTTACTTTGTCCACTGTGTCTTCTCTTTCCCACTTCTACTTTATGTTGGAGGAAATTACCGGCAGCACATTAGGACACTCTTAGAGGGGCTGTGCTTGGCAGAGTTTGATTCCCAACAGTTATCAGGGGAACTGAAGTCCCCCATAATGACAACATCATGTCTTCTTGAAATACTGGCAAGGATTTATTTTTGAAAGTTTGAAATTTTCAACCTTGGTTGGGGGATGATGATAGATTCCAAATACAATGCTCCTTTTATTCCTTTCCCCGTCAATATTAATCCAGATGCTCTATGGGGTCACTGTTTTCTTCTTGCTATATTTCATCACAGAGATCTGTATCTTTAACATAAAATGGAATTCTGCCTCCTTTTGGTTACTCCCATTCTTTTCGAACAGGTTTTATCCTGCAGTTTTTGGATTCCATTCATGGGAGTCATCGCATTAAGTTTCAGTTATACCTATCAGGTCTTATTTGCCCCAAGAATTCAAGTTCATGTTGTTTGTTTCCCATACTTGAGGTACCAGTACATAGACATCTAAGGCCCAGTGAATCAATCCCTGGCTTCTTTTTCTAAACTTTTGGGGCACTGGTGTTAGGCCCAGCTGGAGTTTTTTCGCTGTTACCGTACATAATCCTTTGCCAGTTGGTGCTGCACCCAGACGCATGGTCTCCCTCCCAGGTGGATGTTGGTTTAAAGCCCTCCTGACAAACTTCTTCATACTGTGGCCAAGTTCATCCATTTGTTTCTTTGTAAGGTGCCAACAAATAGGCGAATACGCTGAAAAGCACTAGCCCCACCACAGAAGCCTGTTGGGCTTCACTAGTGGCTCCTCTCCAGTGGGAGCAGCTGCCCCCCCCCCACTGGCACCGGTGCCTTAACCAGGGAGTGGTCCACAAGAAGGTTGCCAGCATTCAATCCCATGACTGCGTATTTTGGCAAGAGCCTTTGGTGAGAGACTTCGCCAAAAGCCTTTTGGGAGTCGAAGCAGACAAGGTCCACGTGTTTACTGACGTTCTGATCTGGGTGGTCTCCCCAGTGATTTCCCGCAGGTGTTAAAAGCGTGGGGGAAAGGTGGCTCCTCGGCGCACCTGACGGATCAATAGCCATGAGGTGGAAAGCAAGGCCAGCACCACCTTGTGGGTTCACCCCTCTTAGAGCCACTGAAATGCCACAGCTTGGCAAAGCCAGTGCCCCTGCTCAGAGCAAGGGTTAGGAGAGGAACAACACAGGCACTGAATTCTGGGG